ATATATATATATATATATATATATATATATATATATATATATATATATATATATATATATATATATATATATATATATATAAATAAATATATAAATAAATAATATATAAATAAATAAATATATATATAAATAAATAAAAGAAAAAAGCTTTAGGCCGCTTTTAAGACATCGGACTTTTATAGGCTTTAAGCGAGCATTTTTGGCATTTATATAGGTAAGATTGTTAGTCATAAACTAGATCAACAAGGAAAGGCGGCGCTCAACGAACGCAGCCCCCACACAACCCAGCAACAAGAGCCAGTGGTAAGAAGCCCAGGTCGCCAACTGAATACTAAAACCAACGTGCTGGATAACGTCCTCAAATGAAACTATACAAGGTCCATGGCGGTATTCGAACACACATCGGTGAGATGACAATGGATTCAAATTAAAGACCTTAACAACTCAGCTTTATCAAGCAATGTCGTCACAGCGGAGACATCCTCTCAGATGAAGTCCACAAAGATCTGGAAAATAATGATCCTTCGAAAGCATTAAACACAGCAAAATTACATGAAAATTGCAGACTCGGTTTGGTGAGGGATAATGAAAAAGTGCAACATTCCTAACGCCCGCTAGCACCGGCTTTATCGGTACTTAATTTTCAACACTTAAAAGTGCTGGACTCAATAGTCCTGAAGAACCAGAAAAAAATATAACAACACAATCCTTTAGATTCACCCCTTTCAATTTGATTGGGACATTAACGAGCTATATTGTAAATGAAGCACCATCTAGAGATTAAGTCTTTGTATTATTAATGTTTATGTGCATAATTGAGCATGCTACCGGAAACATTAACGATTTAACACAATTAAAAAACCTAACATTGAGCCAGAATCTGATAAGATAATGATGATAGTGATATTTTTGTTTGACATTAATCCTGTCGTAAATCCATATTAACAATACAAAAAAAAGTTTTTAAAGTTTTTGACTAAGCGAGTTACGCACTGTAAGTTAAAGCGATGTCCATATTTGGAATAATTTAGTTAAGTCTTCAATTGCAATATCGTTTTATTGTCTAAACCTGAGCAACAATTGAAAGGTATTTAATAAATGATTTTAAACAAGCATTTAAAAAACTTTTATGAGCGTGCATTTTGAAAAACATGATTGTTTGCGATTTCAACGTAATTTTTTAAATTGTATTGTTCTGTCAAGCTTACCACTACAAAATTTACTGGATTTAAGTGTTACGCGTGTTTCTAATGTCAAGCGCTTCGTGCAAATCTTTTTATTTTTTGTTTTATGAACAATATGTTCGAAATACACCAGCGTCCATACCGGTCCGCAACTGTTGCCACAAAAGGGACATTTTTTCACGCTGATCTTTTCCGAAATTCCTGTTCTTCGTAAGTAGGCGGTAGCAGGGGGAGGTGACACCATCAAGGCATCTTTTCAAACGACCCTTGATGGGACCACAACCCTCCCGACTTAATCCATGACAAAGATACCAATCATCCCTGGTACGATGATTTGACCTTGACCTGCCAGGTGCCCTTTCCGCGACTTGATGGATATTGAGAAGCTAAATATTTCAGTGGATTGCGCCCATTCTTTACCTACATGACCTTAATCAATTCACATGACTGTTTATGTTATAATGTATATATAAAGTTATTTCCCTATTCCTTATTAGTTTTTCGAATAAGGAATAGGGAATTAGTTCCTGACTCCTTATTCAAATCTAAATAATGAACAGTAGAATAAGTATTTATATCAAAAAAGATATTTATGGTTGATTAGTAAACTAGAACCACACTGTAACACTGAAAAAGGGAACAGAAGATACTGTAACTGCACGAACTTCTTTTAAAATCTACATTAGTATTGCCAAATCAATAATCGAAATCATTGCATAAGCCCCGGCATCTAAATATTTTGAAAAAATGGTCAAGTCAAATAAGGAATAAGGAACTAGTTTGTCAGCATACATGCATATTCTATATGGTGTAAACAATAAGTACTGCTTTTAGCACAGTTTAAACAAAAGGCCGTATGCTAACTTCATTGTCCAAGTTTGTAACTTTAAGGTCAATGTTTAGGGCATTAGGGGTGTAAGTGATTTGGTCCTATTATAAAAACTTCCTCATTTGTGTTTTTGATCTACTGGAATGATTACATTTGTTTTCTGAAAACAAAACAAACTCGACAGAACATGATTTTTCCGACGTCTCGTTTAATAAACTCATGAACACTTACAGAAGATCCTGTAATATTACAAATGGTATTACTTATTCTCTGATTATCAATAATAATTGAACGAACAGTTTTCAGATCATCGCGGATATTGTAGAATAATGAATAGGATATTTTTATTAACTATCATCAACTATACATAATAGAAAAATAACAATTATCAGCTACATTTGTATACCATTCATTCAAAATATTTACATTTATTATATACTTATAAATGAAATATTGAGAAATATTGATGAAATAAAATGCATATTTTCATTTTCCGTATTTTCACTGTAAAAATTTATTTTTCACTGCAGTGAAACATATTTTCCGTATTTTCACTGGTGTCTTGCCGGACTACTTTCTTTTAAATTCTGCCAGTACACAAAATTTAAGGGAAAGTCTTTCAAATTTTAATGTCAAAAAAGAGAAAAATGTATATAATAAACAGAAAATTCAAGTTTTTTCTATAAATACATGATTTATTTTCATCTTGTGGCATGAAAATTACCATATTTCACTTGTGGCTACCGCCACTCATGAAATATTTATTTTCATACCACTCGATGAAAATAAATCATGTATTTATAGAAAAAACTTGAATATTCTCTATTTATTATAAGAATATGTCATAAAAGAATAGAAAAACAGACATTTTACTTACATTAACAATACGATACGAGCAAAGCTCAAACCATTTTGTAGAAAAAAACAAACAAGATGAAAAATGAAATTGTTCACTAACTTAAACTCAACTACTGCATTAATTGGAGGAATTTTAAGTTAACCGTTGTAAAAGCCGATGGTAATTATGATTTTTCTTCACAGTAGCTTCAACATTTTTGTAGTTATATGTGATAAATGATACGAACAACACATGTTCACCTATTTAAAGTATTACTTTGACTACTTTCAATGACACGAAGCAGTAGTGCACGAACTTGAGTATATCCGTGCATTTCTCTCTTTTTTGGCTTGACTTTATTTTTCAGCCCATCATATAGCTTACAGGAGCCATCATGGAATTCACATTTTCCCGTTCCCATATGTTACGGCAAACACGGTATATCTGGAAAAAAAACATGTTAGAATTTGAGAGATTAAAATTGTAACCGTATCCCTATAAAAGGTTTCGTGCAAAACTACAACAGTCCAATTGTTGATCAGTATATGTTTACGGAATTGACAGTTGTTTTTTTTTTCAGAATATAAACACGATCTTTATTATTTTAAGCACTTAAACCTTCTTTCCATATTTAAACAACAAATGAATGAATCATAAATCGTCTTTACAGCAGTGACACGTGTGCGATGTAACCTCAAAACATGGATCATGAAATAATGACCACAATGATAACATCTATTCCATGGGCAAAATGATAAAGATATCGGATATTCTAAATGACAACTTTGGCCATTGTAATATAAAAGCAAATCCTTTTCTGGTGGCTCAACTTGGAGCTTTTGGTTTATCTTAGGTACGTCAAAATTCATTACGAATGATTTATTTTAAAGCTATATTAATGTGAATTTTACAACCTGCTACTAGGGCCAACGGTTACAACCTCTCCAATCTTTGTCTTGAATACACGTGCTTCAACATTGACAATTATCACCTCTGGGAGAGTGTCTCTGTCCTAAAAACGCCTAGGTTGCCACACTCTATACCCTGTGCATATTCAAAAGACAAAGTTGTTAGAATAGTTAGTTGGTGAATGTGTTGCCAGTTGCTCTTTTTACAGTTTTATAAGTTAGCCAAAGCAATCGTTCTTATGAAATCTCATCTTATTAGAAATAATCGCAACTGTTGTCTTTTTTTGCGTATCTTGTTCTAATCCTTATTTGGGTTTGAATAAGGATTAAGGAACTGGTTCATTATTCCTTATTCGACTTGAACATTTTTTTTCAAAACTTGTATATGCAGATGGCTTTAGTAATGATTTTGATCATTGATTCTTCCAGTTCTAATACAGATTATCAGAGGTAATTGCAATTGTTTGCGTATCATCTTCTGTTCCTTATTTGGAGGTGAATAAGGAATAAGGACTTGGTTCCTTATTCGAGTTCAACAATTGTTTTTTAATATAATTTGATGCAGATGCTTTACGCAATGATATTGATGACTGATCCTTGCAATTGTAATGCAGAATTATGAGAAATAACTACATCTGATGTATTCCTACCTTTGCGTATATTCTCTTGTCCTTATTCGGAGTTGTATAAGGAATAAGGAACTGGTTCCTTTTGATGTTTGATTCTTACAACTGCTATCTTTGCTTACCTTCTTCTGTTCCTTTTTCGGATTGTATCTAATTCCTTATTCCTTGTTTGACATATTTTCCAAATACATGTATTTACATGCAGTTGATTTTATGCAATGTTTTGATGATTGATTTTTCCAATTCTAATGCAGATTTATATGTTCTTTTTTCAGTGTTTACAGAGTGGTTCTAGTAAATACTTATTTTGCTGTTCCTTATTTAGATTTGAATAAGGAATCAGGATCTAGTTCCCTATTCCTTATTTGATTTCGGAATAATCAAATCTAAATAAGGATATTCCAAAAATATTTGAAAAAGGAATAAGGAACAAATTTCGTGAATGAGAAAACTGGTCTTTCTATTGAAAAAAAAATCTTTGATCTTTGTTCATATGCATATTATGTAAGATACATATTAAGTATGGGCCAAAAAATGTGTTTAAAATACAGAATTATCTAAGAAAATACTAGTATAGAATAAATATGTTTATGTTGAACCAGGCCTCGACATAAGCGGTGGTCCGGTGGTCCGAGACCACTTGATTTTGTCAAGGACCACCTGACTTTCCAAGCAGCTGGTTCGTTGGACCACTTGGTTTTTCTGGTCAGATGGATACCTCTTTTCAATAAAAATGAGTGAGAAATCCCTTGAAAGTGTTATATGTGACGAAAAATCCTTTTATCTTTATCTTATTTCTCGAAAAGAGTGGTTTTTCGTCTGTTTACACGTACCGGGTACGGAACCGGTCTGACCGTCACGTTTTTTTCCAATCACGGAACGGCGTACGAACTTTAGCCTGTTTGCCGATGTACAACAACAACAACAAAAGCTGACAAAACTAAATTATTTGTGTTTTTTATCTACGATAAAGTTAAAACAATGTGGAATTTTATAGAAGGGATTAAACAACCTGACCCAAAGTGCCCGAAATCAAAAGAAGAACAACTTTTACAGCAGAGAGCGTATGAAAAATCTCGAAAACGTAAGTTTGACCAGTCGTGGCAAAAAAACTTTTCTTGGTTAGTATGCCGAGATGATTTATTATTTTGTGACATTTGTGAGAGATATGATACCACTGGGTCATTTGTAAAAGGCAACAAACATCTAAGGTCTTACCAGTGTGGCATCCATGCAGACAGTACAAAACACAAGGAAAATGTTAAAAGATTAAAACGGGAAGAAAAACCAACTGAATCAGACGGAGCACAGGCATTCAAATGATTAATTCAGCTGCCAGGAGTAAGGTAAAAATTTTGATAAGAAATGCACATTATGTCGCTAAACTTGGAAGACCCTATACAGACTATGTGGAAATGGGAAAATTAGATAAAATGAAGGGAATTGATATTGGGAATACATACCTTACCGATAAATATTGTGAAACATTTGTGAAATCAATAGCTGATTCCATCAGGGTGGAGCAAGACAAACATTTTGATGCCAGTGATTTTTTTTCTATAATCAGTGATGGCAGTACTGATTGCTCCAGCAAGGAGGCTGAGGCCATAATTGTGAGATCGTCTGCCAAGGGAAAGGTACAATTACTTTATCTGAAGTATTTTTTGTTAAACATAAAATATTTTAATAATCTATATTGACAGGGGCGTTGATATAACAATTAATACGTTTGTTTCCTGGCTTATTATATTAAGATCAAACTGCTTTAGTTGGTAATCACAATGATCTCCCTTTTACAATTTGCAATTTGTTTCGGCATGGTCAATTTGTTTTATTGTATTCATCCGGTGTTATCATAAATAAACCGTTTTTTATTTTTTTCTAGTTTATTATGATACGTTTTTCACGATTAGTTTAATTTCATTGTCAATGTTCTTTAAGGCAGCCCAGGCATGTGTCTGCTTCTTTTCAAAATTTATTTTTAAAAAATAATTGAATTATTTTTGTTTTTCGTGTTTATTTTGCAGGTTGAAACGCATTTCATTGGGCTTAGACATGTTGAAAAAGCAGATGCAAAGCATATAACAGATGCTATCATGAAAATCATGAATGAGCGATTTGACAATAACTGGGCACAGAAATTCATAGCCATGGGCTGCGATGTTGCTGCTTTAATGTTGGGTGCAAAGAGTGGTTTGGCTAAACAACTCTGTGAAAGAAGTGCACGCCCCATTTATACAATCCATTGCTCTGCTCACCGGTTAGTTTAGTTTTATGAATGAACAAAAAAGTTCTTAATTATCTATAATTTACAATTTCTACCTGAGCATGTTTGTATATTTATGTCTTAATTGATATAGAGTAAAAGCTAAATATTACACATATCATTTATGTATTATTTTCTTTTAACAGTTTACTTCTAATGACATATAAAGTGACATTTCAATATAATTTGACTAGTTGTGTTATTAGCATATATTTCTTTTCAGACTTGAACTTTGTTTTAAAGATGCAACCAAACGTCTGACGTCCAAGATACATGAGAAATGTGAAGCATTGCTGTTAAATCTTTACCTTTTCTACAAGTAAGAGATATAGAAATAAAATACTAAATTATTCTACCAATTTTGAAAGTTTGCCTAAATTTTCAACATCCTATACATTTTGTTAAAACTCTTACAAGATATGATACAGTATAGAGAACAATGTGAATATACAATTCCTGAAATATATTCCATCAGTATCAAATTTCATAATTGAATGATATTCCTTTCTTTTAAATGAATAAATAAATAACTATATAGTTTAGTACTAGATTGAGTCCCCTAAACCGAGCAAATTTGACCAGGTGTTTTAAATCTTTGGGTATCAACGTGGTTGTGCCAACAAGAGTCGGGGGTACTCGATGGCTTCCTCACACCATGAAAGCTATTAAGCACATTTTGACAGGACGAGAAGCTATCCTTAAACACCTGAACGAGGTAAGATATTTTTAGTGCCATTTTGTTATGTTTTAATTGTGAAACAAGCTTGTTTTGAATGCTATAATAAATTTCAACAGGTGTCAGAATATTAACATCTTGATTTAATATACAACTAAAACCTTCATTTAATACATATTCTGGTAAAAACAGATGCAGGATCCAACAGGACCTACTCGTAGGAAAGACTCGGCTGCAAAAGCAAGGAATTTTCTGAAACTTCTTCAAGACCGTGAGGTCCTTGTGTGGCTACACTTTTTGATGGACTTAGTCTCATGTCTGGGAAAAGTGACTGAGATCATACAAAAACATAATGTTACCTTAGCTGAAGTTTGGAAGGAATTGCAATCTGCAAAATCAATGTTACAGAGATATTATACAAGGTAAAATAGCTGAAATATACACACTAATTGCATGTTGCTTAATTCTTATTTGAAGTGTAAGTGCCAAGTCCTGTACATGTATATCTGTTAATATCTCTATCTTTGTCTCTGCTTTTTTGCTTTTTAGTTTAGAACATAACTAACTGCATAGTGCTTTTACTCTGTACCTTCTGTTTTTCTTGAGGATACACATACTTTTTTTGCTGTAATGATAACAAATATTACATTTTGATGTATAAATCAGGCAATAATTAATTTGCAACTCTCAAATTTAAAAAGAACTAAATGAAGGGTATGGTGTCCTCATCTTTATCTCTTATAGTAGCATTACTTACTAACCCCTACTAATTATAACAGTGCTGGACCTTATCTGAGAAAGACAGAGTTTGAAGGTGTTGTACCTGCCAGTAGATTTAAGCTTCTGCAGTCAACTGTTGCAGCTATAGAAGAGAGATTTAGTGGAGATCTTTAGTTTTTCAAGAGCAGTGCCTTTATAGAATTTAAGAACTGGCCTGATTCCATTGATGGTGACTTAAACCCCAGTCACACTAGAGCTTACGATTACTTGCGACCACCGGCGACTTGTAAAACTGACGATCATCAGCGATTGTCTGCGATCAAAACCATTTTTGCACAGATAAATTTACGTTTGCGAGTATCGTAAGACAAGTCATCATTGACAATCGTTCGACAGGTCATAAGTAAACGTACGATGGTCTCAAGATTGCCTGGGATTACTTACGACTACCCATGTCATAACATGCGATCACCTACAACTTGTCGTACGACCATCACACGATTACTAAAGACTACTTAGGATTATCAGTGACTAGTGGCAATTTGTAAAGACTGTCGTAAGATTGTCGCACTTCCGAACGACCATCGTGCGACAGCCTTAAGACCTTATAAGATCACTAGCGACCTGTTTGATCGCAAGGAGGTTTTTGTGCAAGCTCAAAAACCTCTCTACGACTGAAATTGGTCGTGAGACCTAAATAAGATAACCTGCGACTGCCAAAGATCACCGATGACCGTCGTAAGACGTTTTAAAGATTGTCCGCGACCAGAGGTCACTGGTGATCGTGAACTGGTCTTCACTGGTCGTAAGCTCTAGTGTGACTGGGGCTTAAAGTAGGTATAATTTGCATGTACTAAATAAGTAATGATTTACTTTGCATGTACAATGAAAGTGATAATCAAACTAATTCAACTTGCTTTTCTTTTTTTTATATTACGTTTTCTTCCTTTTATGAGATATTTACCAATGTTTATTGAAAACATCATGCAGGTGACTTTGGTGATGATGAGGTCGTTCAAATGGCACAATTGTGTGAGTGGGCCCTTATTGCGTCAGGTTGTGAAGTTGAGATGGTTGAGACAGAATGGATCCGTTTCAAAACAGATGTATTCAATAGGTATTTGAAGTTTCAAATAACAGTGTATTTGGTTAATTTGAAAATAATCAGGTTGTTTAATACATTTTATTTCCTTTAATAACGACTAATTTTCTTCTTTTATCATAATTAAGTATTGCCTTGTCAGACCAATAACATGGAAACAAAAAGTATCATGTACGATGTTTGTTTCATTTCAGCAAGAAGAAAATCATTCATTCACTGACTTGGCCTATGCTATGGGAATCAATGAGCAGTGACTATCCAAGTCTGTTCAAATTAGTTAGTCTCCTCCTCACTATACCTTCTTGTTCAGTGGATGCTGAGCGGAGTTTTAGCAGGTATTTTTTCTATTTTTATAGTTTTAAAGACATTTTAAACAAATTAAAATAATTTTACATGGTAATCATAAATATGTGCCACTTTAAACATTTTTTTGTAAATACAGGAATATTGTTATAAACTGTTTAATCATATTTTGTTATAAATCCTGTTGTCCCAAAAAAGATTATCATTTTTTTAATATTAAGGATGAAGCTGCAAAAGAGTGATTGGCGGGCTTGTCTGGGTGATAGACATCTAACTGATTTGATGTTAATTTCACTTGAGGGAGACGAATTAGAGGATTTCAACCCAGAGCCAGCACTTGAGATATGGGAGAACTCTGGCATCAGGTCAAGAAGACCTTATTTCAATGATAAAGGGAGACAGAAGGTAAATTTGATGTCATGCTAATTTATTTTGTAGACTTGATAATAATTTGTGTATAACATATTTATAAAAAATGTAATTTCAACCAATTTTATGAATAAAGCTTTATCTTATATAATGTTTTCTTCCAGGCCACACTGGTGACACAGGAAGAAGAGAATGATGATATTCAGCTGGTGAACTTTGATATCCTGGCAGATCAAGCTGGAGCTCTGGATGATACTGTTACATCTGTAGAAGATCAGGATGATGAGCAATATGACGAACAACATGCCAATGACCTTATAACATTACAACAGAAATCATATAGACTTTTGCTCTCTTTAATGACTGAACATGTTATCTGAATAAAAACATAATATATTAATCTGAATAAAAACATAAAACATTTAAGATGTGTGTTTTCTTCACTTATTAATATAAGTTATTATCTCTGTAACCAGTTACTAAAATCATACCTGGAGTTAAAATTGTTTGAAAAATTTAAGGACCACTTGACTTCAAGAAGGACCACCTAGATTTCAAATTTATTGGTCCGGCTGACCACCTGCTCAAAAAGTTAGTATCGAGGCCTGACTGTTCAAACGTTGCTCATTGAACCGTCAATATTAATACATGTACGGTAAATACTGTATCATGTTCTTTCTAATAAAATTTTATTCTTGCTGTTCTCAGTTACATCAGTGTTCAGAGATTTTTATTTTTTTAAATGTCCCCCTGAGATCACAGATAAAATACGAAAAATGCACCCGCATATTAAATAGGCATATTCTTGTATTCTATGTCGCAACTTATGAAGAAAACATAATTATTCATAAGACACGCTCATAGTTAAGTGGGATAAATATACTATGGTATTCAAATTGCGGCTTATAAGATATAAACTATTACATTCTCATGATTCTTGAATTATAACGTGTTGTAGATCATAGACATGTCGCTCTTTCTGTTTGGTTTTACATCGCATCAACCCAGTAGATGTGACATGCCGACTTTCCAGCTTTAATGGTGAAGGGAAATCTCAGGTGCCCTTGCGTGCATTATTACCGGCTGGAACAAGCACCTTTGTAAAACCATGTGAAGTCCGAGCAAACTAAATCATGTATGGCAGCAAATGCACATCTGGTAAATCGGATAAAATAAAAGTGGAGATGGGATTATTATCCTAGAGAATTTGGACAATATATATCAAGAAAGCGACACATTTGTCCGCTTATTTTTATTTTATTTTCTGAAAAATGACTGTTCATATGCGTTCAATTCAAACTTTGGTTCAACAGTAATAGTAATACGACTCTGATATAAATCGACAGAATCAGATTCTTATTGTTGAGGTTATTTAAATGATGTTTAATATCCATTTTAAAGGGACTCAGCCGTGGTATTTTGACATGACGTGACTGGCAATAGTTGTTCGAGAGTAAAGAATATGACAAACAAGATCAACAAGGAGCAATGGACGCAACCCCACCTGACCCAGTAACATAGCCCATAAACCCACTAAAGTTTGTTGTTGGTCTAGACAAATTTACATTCGGTTGTTTTTTCATAGCAACTGACCGATCCGAAAAATGTTTATACATGAAATAAATGATTATCACTGTAACTAAATGTTAAATCCCGTACCACGGCTACCATTAGGAACGGTGATATATAATTTTGCTTTTGCTATAATGGATACTGATGTTTATATTTACATACACTTCTAAAAATAAATTTTTTCATTGGGTTTGTACTTTAGTTAAAAAATGAGGGCTTTTTCGGACGAATTGTGTCTGTTATCAGTTTGATTTCCTGTAGAATGAACAGGGAAGAACTGAATATGAGATAAATTTTCATTGGTCATTTTAAAATTACAACCTGAAATCGGCGAATCTCATTTGTCATTCTAACCAGTTCTAACCATTCTAAAATAAAATGTAAAGGATAGTTCTTACCTTTATCAAATCTCATTGGTCATTCTAAAATAAAATATAAAGGACAGCTCTTACCATCTTAAAATAAAATGTAAAGGAGGGTTCTTACTTTTCTCAAATAAAATTTTAAGGATAGCTCTGTAATAAAATGTAAGTGATAGTTTTGCCACTATCTAATGAAATATTGGGGAATAATTCTAAAATAGAAAGGTACAGGAATGAGGATAGTTTTTTTTTTATAATTTTTAGGTTAATTTGTGAATCATTACAACATTTTGTAAATTATTACAAAATTTATAAAGGCAAACGTAAAACAAAAAAGGGACACCATAAATAGAAGTTGTTCTTCGTTGAAAAATCATCAACATAAATATGCCATAACTTAATTTCAAATGTTTACAGAATGAATACTTTCTTAATAGCTACAAGAAATAATGATCATGCCATTGTTATGCAAGCATTGCTAACATTTCACTTTGTATTGAAAACTTAGAAATAGCATAATTTTGCATGTTAAACAGATTTACTTCAGCACAGTATCGTTTTAAAAGATTCATATTGGCTGTTTGCATTTGATATTTTTCAGTGACGTTATTTCTATACGTTAAAATTTGCAATATCTATATTTTGAAACCCGAATATTTTTTATCGTTGTTCAAATAAAATATTAAAGTATCTTTTGTAATATGAGAAAATAGGAGACATTAAAATGATAATAATAGTTAAACTGAATACACTAGCAAAACTTCTCTATTCAAAGCTGAAGGTGTAATGTAAACATAATTTGATTTCACTTTCATTATTTTTTTATTAAGAAATAAAATTGTAAAGACAACCCGTTGTCATTCAAGTATAGTTAAACAAATTTCAATGTACTTTAAAAATTGAAATGACACCTTTTGTATATTCATTGTGTATCCATAAATAACAAAATCCTATAAAAACAACTAATTTAGACTTACTCAACATTTCAATATACGTCATACGGATCAATCCCTGCTATAAGAGATTCTTAATTATATTAAATAAAAACATTAATTGGCAACAAGTTTTCATGACACTTCTATATTGTCATTTGCATTCTTTTTAAACGGGCGATTGTGTTTTTACCAAAATTAATTGTTTAAGCATAAAAGCAACGAATTATGTAATAAGAATTGGATTAAGGGTAATTTAGTGCAAAAAGAAATGAAGAAAAGAAGAAAAAGTCAATACACATACTAAGGGAAAATTGAATGATAATAATCACATTTTGTATTTGGAACAAGGTTTCAACAGTAATATGACGTCAGACCACTTATCGTCCCTTTACGTCAAACTTCGAATAGCCGAAATGTTCCGCAAACAAAAAATATATTTCAAAAGCCGTCATATTGGTATTTTCTCAAATCATGACGTACATGTAACATTGTATTACCCGATATTATTCGATATTCATCTATTCATTGGGGTTCGAAATCCTTAATTAAAGTTGTATTTAGGCTTATTTTGTACTTTGTGATTTAAAATGTATACTTTCTTACTTTTATGTAAATATTACATACTTAACGATTAACGCAAATAAAAGCATATGTCGTGCCTTGAGAGTACCTATGTGTTAAAAATGAGAGGATACCTGTGATATAAAAATTCAAATGAAGAGAGGTAGCCCGTGCCGCTGCAAGACCGAAAGTAGGGTGTTTTTATAAATTTTACAATTATTTTTGACAATATACTGCCATTTGTCCGAAGATGATATGTAAATGACATACTAAATATGTATGATGCATATTTAATCTCAGCCCGAAAAGTATGTCGAGGTGATTGGCGAGGCAAGACATGTTGAATTTTTGTAGCTTATTGTGAAGTTGCAGTACATGAAAAACGGGCACATGACAAATCAGCACATAGATAAAACATTCTAGTGTTCCGTGGTATACATCTTTTCCACGTGTCATACCTCCTTTCCTTATTACAATGAATTTTTACTGGCTTGTTATCCATCGCTGGTTTGTTTTGAGCAGAGAATGACCTGTGCATGTACAAAGAGGGTACCGTTTCAGCAGATTTCGCAAAGAGGGTACCGATATGGATATGCACCGTGAATTTGTTTTTGTATAGTGCCACCAATGCTTTCCAGTGATTTAACTGTAGTAAATCGGCTATACGACTGATTGCAACACTGATATTCAATACAATGTTTATTTGGTTTAACAAATAAAATAAAAAAGGAGTTGCCTCAACTGGGATACTCAACTCTAGACCTCTCGATTCCTAAGCGCGCGTGCAAACCCCTCGGCCACGGTGAAGTTACATGACAACGGCCTGAAGAAAACCATATTATTCTAAATTAGGGTTTGTAACTCATATTATTTTGACAGCTTACTATAAGTATGTATATCTATAAAGAATAAA